CCTACACAGGGAGAGGTCCCAGATCTACCTCAGCTGATTCCTCGCCAGGCCCGGCTGTTCCCAGAAGTGACACATGCTGTTCAGCAGAGTATGCGAGTAAGGAATGAAATATTAATGCCTTTTAAAATTCACTGCCCTACATTTCCGCTGTGGAGCAGTGACAGGGCTGATGGGAAACTCTTCCAGAGCAGAGCCCGGCCCTGGTGGACAGGCCAGAGTGCACCCCTCTGGGCCTCACACGGCCCAGGGACTCAAGGGGCTTTGCCTGACAGTGAAGTAGAAGTAGTTCTGGCCTCATCAGGAAGTAGAGGCCAAGAATATCAATAATAGTTGTGGCAAATATCGTTAGACTTCCTGGTGCCCCAGCTGCCCGTGACAGTGCTATACCATGAACCATTTTTACAATCAGGAACATCAAGGCAGGGGAGGCATAAGCAATGTGCCTGAAGTCACACAGTGTATGACAGGGTCAGTCATGGGACAGGGAATGGAGATCTCTGTCCCCTTCTGCTGCTCCCTGCCCCCGACCTGTGTCTTGCACCTACATTCCCTTGGCTGCATTTTTTTTTTTTTTTTTTGCGGAACCGGAGGTTGAACTCAGGCCCTTGCGCTTGCCAGGGAAGTGCTTATTCCACTGAGCCATCTCCCCGGCCCCCCCTGGCTGCATATTATGGAAAGTGGAGACAGAACAAGTATCTGCCTCGCCCAAACGGATCTGCACAGGACACGAAGCTCAGGCTGTCTTCCCACTGTGGCAGCAGCCCGAAGGTGACCCCAGTGACTTCCCATTTCCTGATGTCCACACCTGTGTGTCATCCCCTCCATTGCAGTGTGGACGTCAATGGTGACCTTGCTTCTCACCAGTACTGTGTGGCAATGGTGCTGGTCTACTGCTCACTCCCCTGTGACTAGTAAGTTAGAGCAGAGTGGCACTGGATGTATGACAGAGGCAGCTCCTATTGTTTGGATAACTGTCTCCCCCCCCCCAAAGCTAGTATCTTAAAAAGCTTAGTTATCCATCCACGGTGCTATTAGAAGGTGGAAGAACCAGTAGGGGGTAGAGCATGCCAGAAGGGAGTTGGGTCACTGGGGGTGTGCCCCTGAAGGGGGATACTGAGACCTGGCTCTTTTTATGGGTCTGTCTCTGTGTGCTACTTTTGCTTCCTGCGTACCATGATTTGAACACATCGTCTCTCCATGGGCTCCTGCCCTGATGTAACTGGACCAACCAACCAGCCATGGACTACACCCTCTGAAACTGTGTTTGCTTCCCGTAGTTTACCTATCTCAGGTATTGTCTTACAGTAACAAAGCCAAAGCAGCAGCCACACTGAGAAAGCCCACGCGGCAAGGAGCTGTGGGTGGTGGGGACTCCTGAAGCAGTTGCATGTGGCCTCTGGGACCTGAGTGTGGCCTCCCGAGGAAGTGAGAGAGGATCTTCCAGTGGTCCGCTGAGCTCCGGAGTAGATGCTCCAAGCAAAATGAAAATGAAGCCTGTCAACACCTTCACTGCAGCCGCATGAGACCTGGTAGGGGACCGAGGTGTGCCTGCTTGCACTCCTACCCACAGAAACTGGGGTCTGTAAGTGGGTGCTGTCGGAAGACACCACATTTGTGACCATTTTTCCTGCAACAACAGAGAATTTCATTATAGCAATCTGAAGGGACAAGACAGCCAGACAGTACAAACAATTTCAGGATCATGAGCTCGTGGCATATTTGTGACCATCCCAAATGACTCCTGTTTTTCGGAGGAGGAAACCGAGATCCAAAGAGGTGAGTTCATTTGCTCATGGATGCAAAATTGTGTCCGTTATGGCCGCAAAGTAGCCTGGAAGTCAGGTGATTTTAAGTAATAAATAGTATTATTTACAAGTCTCCAAATTGGCTGGGCAGTTCTGGCCTCAGCGGGGATAGTTCACGCTTGTCTGATCAACTGCGAGCTGGTGCTGGCTCTGCCGATGTTGGCCGCGGCTTACTTATTTGGGAGTCAGCTTCCTGTAGGTTGGACCAGAGGTCATCTGACAGTGGGGCTGAGATCTCATCCACCGGGTTACTCTCACTCCAGCAGCCAGCCCAGGCTTGACCACAAGGGGGTGACGAGGGTCCACGAAAACAAGCAGAAGTTGTAAGGCCGCGTGAAGCCCAGCTCCAGAACTCGTTGGTCTCCCAGGGCTAGCCTGAAGAGGCCTCTGCTTGCTGTGTGGCCTAAAGGTCAAGGTCTTGGAAGGACCTTGGTATGTAGGAAGCCACCCCAAACTCAGTGGCTAAAAAACAACGCTGCTATATTTCTGTCTCTGTGCTGGGGCTGGCAATGCAGGCTGGGCCCGGCTGGGTAGTTAGTTCTGGTCATGCTGGGTCCTTTACACATCTGTGGTCGTCTCAGGGTGACTGTAGGGCTCTGCGTCAGGCAGCTGCATGGCAGGTGGTGGAGAGCCTCCACTCCCCACCCTCCAGCAGGCACAACAGGGCATCACACAGGTCCAACCCAGAAGGCCAGGGCTGCAGCTGGCCGCTCACCTGGACCTGTGTCTCGCTCCCTTTCCCTAGTGTCTTCCCCCACCTCATCTGTGTTCCCCACCTACTTGTGCTTCACCCCACCCTAGTTGCCTTCAGTATTCATCAAAATGTATTTGGCTACAAGTAACAGAAATCCAAACAAAGCAGTTTTAGCTGAGAAGGAGCTTGTGGGCTCTTGGGATTGGGAAATTCAGGGGAACATTCTGCTGAGGCACGGTTAGAGCCAAGTGCTCCTGCCGTGCCCTTCAGTGTCATCTTCCTGCATGGCTCTACTCCTCTATTTTCTGTGTTGGGGGAACCTGCCGGTTAGCTCAGGTGTTTAAGCACCTGTTCATGCAAATGTAGACAGGTGCAGGATATCGAGGTTCAAACCCCACCTCCACCTGCCTTACCAGAACCCCCCTTAAGGCAGGCTGAGCCAG